ATGAGTCGATATAATCTAAACCACCATTAAAAACTTGGAAACATTGGACGGCCGTTTCGTCCTATTATGGGACACCTCAGCAGTGCGCATCCACGATCCCGCTCTCGCGATTGTCGAACCCAGGACCTATCAGTCTCGAGCCGAGGCCCTTAACCGATAGACCACTGAGCTGGCATTCAACGGTGGTTTAGCTTCAATTGACTCACGCTTTCAACTATAATAAATACTAAATCTCCACAAAACCCCTTCTATAATAATGGATTTGTTAAACAGAGAAACGGGATAATAAACATAAAAATGTCATTCTTATTCAAAAACTGAAAACGTTGTCGCTATAATCTTGAGTATTCATCAAATCTATTAAAGTTCTGTAATACCTTACTTAGCAAATTTACTTTGTGACGAACAGGCTGTTAGAGTTGACCTAGTAAATAACCTGTATTCTTAAGCATGTTTCAAATTCGATAATTTATACAGACTCAGAATTTTTTTAAACCTTTTTTTTCATTTCTCTTTTTTGTTTGGTTTGTTTTTGGTTAAAAAAAACTTGTTGATATAACTAGTGCTGAGAATTCTATATCGTCCCAGATTATAATATTGAATAAAGCCATTAATAATAATAAGAAGAAGAATCAAGATCATAGTTAATATCATAATAGAAGAAAAGGTTGGATAAGTTTCCTTTCTATACATAGTTCTAGTTTTTTCAAATGTATACCCAATGCTTCATCAGTGTTAAGATAATGGAGGCTCACTTTTTTTCTTCTACTTATTCTGTAAATAACTTTGAACTCTGTGGTTGTTGACAAGATGTTCAATTATAGAGCTTTATATCGATTTGTTTCCGTTTCTTTTCAACTAAGTTGGATGTTTTTGAAATACCTTAGATAGAAACCATATCAAAATACAAATATACCTAGTTCCATAGGAGCAAGTGAATTAATATATACACACATTATAAAACTGTCACTGTCATTTTGCGTTAGATAATTCTGCAGCAATTTAGAAGACTCTTTCGGTTTCCCACATTGTCCGGACATTCCATGTACCTATAAAAATTTTCGCTCTAGTTGTTAGAAGATGCATCGGCCTCATGACTTCCGAAGGAACTCGGCTTTCATCATGAGACGTCATAATTATGCCTTCAACTCCCAGGGCAGAGTTTAAATTGTTTGAATAATTTTTCTGGTTAGCGTTTTTTTAGCGAGTTGATTTTCTACAGGATGTGGTCGCTAACCCCATGCCCAACCCTCCTCCTTTACCCGGGTTTGGGACCGGCAGAACCCCCCGGAGGAGCTGCAGGCGGAGTTAGGTTAGGTAATATGGTATCTATATTGATTTATTGCATCGAAATTTGTTTAAAATTATTATTTTTATTATTATAGGATTGGAACCAGCTATTTTTCGATCAAAAAATTTTGTTTTAAGAATATTTTATAAAGTTCCAGATGAAAATTCAATTCAAAAGTCAACTTTAGTGGATCTGAATTCTCAGCAAACACCTTTTCAATCATCAGATTTAAATTCATCATCACTATTGAAGCAAATGGAATCGTCAAATATTTCTGTAAGTTATAACTTGTATGTATTTATAAATAAAATGTGTTTAAATACTTTCATAGTTGAAATCATCAGTCAAATGAAGCCAGACAGCCATGGAAAACATGGAAGCACTGCTTGACGGCCGTTTCGTCCTATTGTGGGACTCCTCAGCAGTGTACATCCACGATCCCGCCTCGCCGGATTGAATTTTCCTTCATCTTACTAATTTTTGATTGTTTATTTCTAGTTTATGTCATTTCGTCACAACTATTATTTATAGATCCTCAGTTTAGTCAGCTTCAAAGACAGACCATTATTGCTTCCTTTTAAATCATTTTCTTAACGTCTAATATTTTGTAAGCCGATTAATATTCTCAGTTAACATTAATTTGAGGGCAATTATAATCCCCTACCCCCCCTCCATTGATTCGAAATTTAAGGGTGTTAAAAAAAATTGGCAATTAGTGATTGCAGAGTCCCATAATAGGACGAAACGGCCGTCCAGTGTTTTCAGGTTTTCCATGGTGGTATAGCTTCAATTGACTCACGCTTTCAACTATAGTAAATACTAAATCTCCACAAAAACCCCTTCTATAATTAGTGATTGGTGAACTTGTTTTTGAAAGTGTTTACTCAAGTGAAAATGAAGAAACATTTTGTCACCTGTACGAAATCATTTACTCATACCTTATATTTGATAAACCTTAAAAAACGTTGACGGAATAAATGAGCGACAATCACATTATTATTATTATTATTATTATTATTATTATTATTATTATTATTATTAATCTCAAATGATTTGATAGTTTAATCACTGTGGCATTATCACAATTGGTCAGTGTTTTTTCTTAAAGTCGCCTTTATAAATTGTATAACCTTTATCCCAGTTCTTTTTTTCACTGTTGAAATCATGAGTCAATTGAAGCTAGACCACCATGGAAAACCTGGAAGCACTGGACAGCCGTTTCGTCCTATTATGGGACTGACTTCAAGAGATATTTCCTTGAGTTCTAGTGGGAAGCAGTGGCCAGTGGAGTTCTACCAAGTCTGTTGTAGAGATATCAACTCACTGAAGACAATTGGTGAACGGTCGCTCAAAATCGTAGATTGGTTGAAGTTAGACACTAACACCGTTGGATGCCAGCCGGCTCAGTGGTCTATCGGTTAAGGGCTCTGGCCCGAGACTGGTAGGTCCTGGGTTCGAATCTCGCGAGTGTGGGATCGTGGGTGCGCACTGCTGAGGAGTCCCGTAGTAGGACGAAACGGCCGTCAATCAGTGCTTCCACAAAACCCCCTCTGATCTTTTTTTTCTCAATAAGGTTTGACTCACCTTTTTTATATGATTCTTGATAACTCTGTAGAATAAATATACATTATAATCATGTAAGCTTGGTCAAAATAGAACATATGCCAAAAAGAGAGTGATCAATTGCAGATCTAAACATCAATGGGAAGATTTAAGTAGCTAATACAAGCCATTGGCTAAGTGGATAACGCGATGGTGTTCGGAACGAATGGTACTGTGTTCGAGTTCCAAAGTGAACTCCAACTCAAGGATGTAAGTACATCTAGCTGAAAAGTTCAAAACTGGACGAAACATACGTTCTGAATTCCATTGTTAGCTACCATCCAACTATACCTATAATACATTGTCTTGTTTAGAATTTGTGAATCAACAACTCTAGTGTTCTAAACTCCCAGTCTAATTTATTTCGTAAACATTTATTCTACTGTTTAATATTATGAAAAATACTACCCAACTGTTCCATCCACATTTCCTGTAAACTCCGTCACAATTTCAAGTGACATAAGTCTCTCAGAATTATTGTACTTAAATTTTTTTAATTATCAGAAGGGGTTTTGTGGAGATTTAGTATGTTTCATAGTTGAAAGCGTGAGTCAATTGAAGCTAGACCACCATCGAAAACCTGGAAGCACTTGATGTCCGTTTCGTTTTCTTATGGGACTCCTCATCAGTGCGCACCCACGAATCCGCACTCGCGAGATTTGAACCCAAGACCTACCAGTCTCGAGCCAGAGCCCTTAACCGATAGACCACTGAGCTGGCATCCAACGGTGTTAATGTCTAACTTCAACTGATCCACGAAGTTGAGCAACCATTCACCAATTGTCTTCAGTGAGTTCCTACCTCACAACAGACGTGGTTTGAACTCCACTGGTCACTGCTTCTCACTAAAGCTCCTGGATGTACTTCTCGAAGTCAACTATGAAACAATTAAATTTTTTTATTGATTTATTGATTTTTTTTATCTAATCAATCAGTGTTGAACCAAACAGTAAAAACAAAAGTGTTACAGTTTTGTAAAAATTAAACTGGAAGTAAATGTAGCAAGATGAAGAAAAATTCAATAACAAAATTATAAACTCAATAAAACTTAATGGAAGCTTCAAACAAATCGAACTTAAAGTGTAGTTGTAAACTATCAAAAGTAATTTTGATGTAGATAAAACGGTGTAAGTAAAAAATATATATTAAACTGCGTATAAAAGTTTTTATGTCTTTCCACTTTTACCACCGCCACAATACATTCGTAGACGAATTTTGGTCAGAAAGGTATACCGCTGAACAATATGTTTAGTAGTTTTAAGCATGTACAGACGAGAGTATAAGCGACACATACCAATAAATCGTTCCTCAAAAAAAGTGTGTGATGTTCAGTACTTGGTTTTAGTATCAGATGATTCCTAATTGATATAATCACGATTCGGTCGCCTTAGATAATACCTATTTGCAGCTAATCTAATCGTCCTCTTACTACCATGTCACATTCAGCGATAAGAATACCACGGACAAAAGCATATCGTATGACTGTGAAGAACTAATATTTGACAAAAACAAGACACTTTATGTACCTTTCATAGGCTATACGGTCTAATAACAAGTTCAACTAACCAGTAGGTGATTTATCCCAACTATATACCGAAATGATTCATTATGTTAAGTAAAGATAACTGCTAACCCTCCAGCTAACAGCCTGAAATACTCATTACTCTTAATTTAGCCTATTTCTGTTATGACTTAATCAAGACCGTCGCCAATTTGCTGTGGCTTTACAAAATAAACAAAGGACGTATCCTAATTCGTTATTGGTTTTTATGTCCGGCTTTTATTCACGTGAATTATCCACCAATGGAAATACGACTTCTTCGACTTTTAACACTGTGACAATCAATGACGTTCAATCAGTATGAATAATCTAGCGTCTTTATTGGTCCTTTATCCGCCTAGCCCTTCCACTTGAGTCCAGAACACCAATGACAGCTTCTGTTATGCCAATCTATGCGAATCGTTTATTTCAAGCATACTCGGTTTATATACTTAGACAGACAGACCACATTACACCATAAAATAGAAAATAATACTTGTACAAAATCAAGCCAAATGTGGCTGTGAACGTAGGAGACAATAATCAATAAACTGAGTATAATTTAGGAACAGTAAATCGTATAATAATAATTAATAGATCAAAATGAAGCCTATAATAAAATGAATATAGATATACATAATCTAGTTACTGAATAGTTATACAATAGGAATATATACAGAATAATAGTCCATTTATAGGTCCCGTAAGTTATCCGTACTTACTTTTTCCCTAGGATATAACACTTTCAATCATAAATATGCTGTATTTTTTACATGAATACTGTTACATTAAATGATTTCCATCTATTTATATAATTACACGCGAACATACCATTAAAATAAAAGCCATACAATCGACAGGTGTCATTAAGTTTTCATTATCAGGAACGTTAGATACAGCACAGACTATAAAACCATGATACCATTTTGTTGATTCCCTTCTCTTCTCAAAGGTAAGATATTACATAAACATCAAAGAAAATACATAAGTGTCGGATTTTTAACGCCTTGTACATAAATGTATCATTTAAAGTCATCTAGCCTTTGAATATTAATTAATCCTAAATTTGGTTCTAATTTGACTCTGTGGTTCATTGATTGCTTTTCTCTAAAACAATCAAACCGTAAAGAATTAATATAAGCTACAACCAAACTCCATAGCACAGCTTATTTAGTTTACATTTGTACCTCAATAACAGTGTGGGATCTTCAGTTCTGCAATATTTTTAAGCTTTTAATGCACCATAATCATGATTAAACACTATATATAACAAATATATCACTTCTGGCGTGTCTAAACATAGCTTCTCAGTAATAACTTGAGAAATCCATCTTAACATTCATTACTAGTGATCGCAAATTTGACTTATCAACAGAAAGTTTGTAAAGATTAGGTTTAGATCAGATCAGAAGTAAGACAAATAGATAGTTGAGAGAATCGGATAATCTTAACACCACATGGTGTGTCAAATGAATTCAGCGATATAAAACATTACATGCCAACTGAGAACTTCAAGTAAACAGAACACACCTCAAGACTTGAAGATTCGGATTTCTACGTTGTATGGAATTGTGAATTTGCTTTGGTGAAGAGTTCCAAGCCAATATTAACTTTACACCTAGTGCTACTCAAAGCTTTAAGTCTTCTCTGTTTGATACATTTCTTCAATGAGGTGTACAGAAGAAGAAAACAACATCACTAACACAAACTTTGTGGAGAAATGAGTCATCAAAACTCGGCTAAACCCTTTCTACTACATATATTACATACCGCCAACACTAAAAATTTACTGTCGAGTAAAGATGTGAAATAGAAACAAATTCCCCAATGAAATCCAATCACTATTCAAACTCGATACGTGGTAATTATGACTCTCGCATAATCTATTTCGGTTTGGGTGGTCAGCTATCATTGCTACTACTCACTGAAGCGTTGTGGCCTAAAGCTCAGTATACTAATATGAGCTAGGTCAATGAGGCATGGAGAAGTAGTGGGATACCAATTTAACTGATTTTACGTATCAAATAAACTGTCACAGAGACCGGTAATAAATTTTTACAGAAAACAAAAAGAATATGAAGGTTTTATTTGATTCCTTTGTATTTTTAAAACAAATATATATAAATTAAACTGATTCAGTGTCATACAACGCTTGACGAAGATATTTTACAAACATATAAACATCTTCAAAACTATTATACAATGGTATCGGTGTAATACGTAGGAAATTTGGTAGTCTGTAATCACATATTACACCTAATCTCAATAGATTTTCATATAGTTTCTCAACCTTCACATGATTAAAATACAATGTTAACTGTGCTCCACGTTCCTCTGAACTCGATGGTGTAACTATACAATATCGATCACTATTTAGAGCTAATGAACTCTGTGTAATTAGATATTCAAGGTAATTAGTTAGTTTGATTGATTTCTCCCTTAAATTATTCATACCACCACATGATTTAATAATACTGATACTAACTGTTAAAGCTGCAGCTAATAATAATGGTGGATTTGACAATCGATAGGCATCGGCACCTTTCGCTAATTCCATATTTCCAGTATAATTGAATCGTGTTTCAGTTCTATGACTCCACCAACCGGTCAGTTGAGGACCAGATATATCATTAATTATTGTATTATCACTACTACTAATATTGTTGAATTCATTAAATTTCGGTCCATAACTTGATTCTTGATGATGATGTTTTTCATGAATAAACAATCCTCCAATAGCACCGGGACTACCATTTAAATATTTATATGAACACCATACAGCCATATCAACATCCCAATCATGTAAATATAAAGGAATATTACCAACAGCATGTGCTAAATCCCATCCTACTGGACATTTACAATATTGATGACCCCATTCAGTAATTAATTTCATATTAAATAATTGTCCTGTAACATATTGTATTCCTGGTAACCAAATCAATGCAATTCTATGTTGATTTTTTTGAATTTCTTGTAAAATATCTTCATTTCTTAAACAATATTCATTAATACGTGGTTTTAGTTTAATAATACAATTATTTGGATTTAAACCATGCCAATTTATTTGTGATTCAAGTACATAATAATCACTTGGAAAGATTCCATCTTCAATTAGTATACAGCATCTCTTACCTTTTGGTCTATAGAATTTTGCAATTAATGTATGCATATTTACTGTTAAATTACAAGTAATAGTAACTTCATTTGGTTTAGAGTTAACAATCCATTGAGCACAATCAATCGATAATTGTTGATCACAATGTGATGCTGGTAATTCACCATAATGATAAGCTAATACACCTAAATTTCTCCATTGATTTAATATGCCATCTAAATAGGCATGTAAACGTTTTGGTTGTAATCCCATGGAATTTCCACAAAAGTATATAATTTTCTTTGAATTATTTTCATCGTTTAGATCAGTTAAAGATGGATTGGATTCAGTGAAATTGGATTGAATTGTTTTCATTACTTCTTTATAGTCTGGTAAATAAAATTCTGATTGATATGAGTGTAGTAAATCATGTTCGTCTAATTTTATGGCGAAATCGATGGAATCCATATCCACCTGGTATTTATTGGCTAAATATCTTAACTCCTCCATTGAACTAGACATTCTTGTATAGTGAAGTGGAATCAAGAGAAACTGTCTCATACTTTCTGAATTTTTTCAATTTATGTTAACCAAAGTATATGAATGTAAATATCTGATTGGTTACTTAATCATAAGTATAATAAAATTGAGTTTATTGACTGAAACTAATCTATGTTATTTAGAATTACATGATCAGTCAGTTAGTAAGTGAGTTATGATTAGACAGATATATAACTTTGCCTAATGTATTCTGATTGGCTAAATTCAATAAATCATCTTGTAAGAAAGTATAAAACTATTTTGAATTGCCCAAAGAAGTAACTATATTGTCTGGAAAATAATGTTTTCAAACTGTTCATTGTATGAAGTTATATCATAATAGTCAAATTATTTTAAAATTTAGTTTCCATTCGGTTATAATTCTCCACATTGGGTTGACAATGATTGTATGAAGGTTGGTTATGGCTTCTCACTAGAACTCAAGAAAATACCTCTTGAATCTAGTCATTACTGAGCACATGATTATTATTATTATTATTATTATTATTATTATTATTATTATTATTATTATTATTAATCAAAAAGGGGTTTTGTGGAGATTGTAATAATTTAATAGTTGAATTTATTGGTCGAATAAAGCTAGACCACCTTGGTTGAAGTTGGACATTAACACATTCGGATGTCGGCTAAGTGGTCTAGAGGTTAAACGTTGCGCGCTAGATCGAAGGTCTTGTGTTGGAATCCCGTGATTGGGATCGTGGATGCGTACTGCTGAGGAGTTCCACAATAGAACGAACCGACCGTTCAATGCTTCCAAGTTTTCAATGGTGTTCTAGGTTATATCGACTCATGAATTCAACTATTAAAATTTCTTCGTTTATTTAATGTGTTAGTGCTGCATATAAGTGTAATATTCACTGAAAACTCCATTTTTATCATCTTTAGTTAGTGATAGATTTTGTCTGTAAACATGGCACTGTAGGTCACCATAAATTGTGGATGAAAAAAGCAAATAAAGTGAAAGTTAGAACTTGAAAGGAAAGCACTAGTTAAAACTATGCTCTTATAAGAAGCATTCACTCATTAGATGAACGGAAATATGATAGTTACTCTACATATATTGGATATTGAGAATAAGCTATAGTACAAATTCACAGATACTTATCCTACCTTATATCAATTTTGATTCAGATATAAAACGTTATTGTTGGATTTTTTTTCTTTATTGTATAACTTTACAGATTTCTAGTCACATTGACCGGATGTCCCGAGCAGATGTCTTATTTGGTCGTATTGCTCATGTCTCCACTACGAGTTTCATCAATAACGAAAATAAAACAAACCCTGTTCAACACATGTCGGTACTTCCAATAGGTCGTTCAAATTCAGAAGGCCGTCTCTCAGATCATGAAAGAGATATAAGTAGTGGGGGTTGTCCTGCCACTGTTACGGGTGATAATAATAGCTCTGGAATTAGTAATTTCAAACAAGCAATTAAAATACCCAAGACTACGTATCATTTTCTTGAATTTCTTCAACCAGACACAAGACTTTTCAACAAAGTTTTAGTACCTGTCCCACCGGGTGATGAAACATTACAAGCATTAAGGGTTGTAGCGTCAACAATCATAATATCACTTCATTCTGCCGGCAAGTAGAATATTTTTTTTCTATTGTATTCAGTGATTTTGTATGATATCCTATATTTGTTTTTTCTACTCCGTTCAGTCCTACATGAGTTCACTTCCTGTCTAAATAACCTAGTGCTGATGTCTCTGATTTCAACAGTTAATTTTCATAATTTTCACACAAAATAAAGTTCGTAGCCGACGGAAACTAAACATTATTATTGGAAGCCAGCTCACTAATCGTGTGTAATTTAAGACAGTAAAAAAACAAAGAAGTAAAGACTTACCAGTTTGTAAAGTTTTCCTCGACTATAACTTACCATAAGTCACAAAATTGTAAACAATGTTCGACAATATTTACAATTTAAGTTAACAATCATAAAATCATGTAAAAGTAAAATGGTAAGTTTCTGAAGTTTTTGAAGAAATCAATGGTAATTCTAATATCATTTTTCGTGTTATCTATAACTACTAAACTACATGACGATGCTGTTTTGAATACTCAGTTCTCAAGCTCACTAGGGTTTCTTTTTAAAAGAACCTCATTATAGTATGCTGGAAAAACTCACATGGGTATGGAGTAAAAGAAGAGTCTTGTCCTATAGACAAAAAAATCGATGAATCGTTAATAAAATATATGAAAAATATAAAAAGATTTTAAATTAAAATTGGCGCTAATAATGCCAATAGTCAGAATAGAAATATTAAAGTCATACATTAAAATAAGATTTTTTCTTATCAGACATTTCTCCGAATGAAAACTTATGATCATCCTAGTAAAGTTGAACAGTCACTAGCATGGGAATTCAGTATGTACGTTTCATCCCATTCGGGATTCGTTAGCTGGATGTACTTGCATCACATCTCAGTGTTGATATTCAAGCTTTGCTTATATAATCCTTAGCATCAACAACTGTAAGATACAAACACATTTGCCAGTACTGATGATCCTGTCGTAGTTTCCTATTATATTATTCATAAAGATAATATTAACCTATTTAAGGAGGCAAGAAACTCTTCTGTCTGTATTTTTAAAGTTACCCTCGATTTCTCTTGAATATTATCATTTCATTTTTTTATTTGATGCTTTGTCGTGCCGAAATACTTTTTAAGGAATAATAATTTTCTGTTTGTTAATGTGATGTAGGATCTTGAGCCAATGTACATATGTCTGGTTTTTCTCATATGACTAACCGACTGACCGGTGGTTAAGCGCTCGCATCAAACCTGAAGATTGTGTGTTCGGTTTTGGACTGTTTCTTGGGCACCCACTAAAAAGGAGTCTTGTACCAGGACAAGACATATGTCCATTGCTCTAGTTTTTCAATGATATCCTTACTGAGATCGATCCGTGTCGAATACTGCCTACAAAGTAAACTGCCCTCCGTCAAAAGTGAATAAAATATTTGATTTTTTTTGCTCTATACCTCTCTGACTTCACCTATTTCCCTTTCATTTTCTCTGTAATCAGGTAATAATTTAGAATTGATTGAAACGAAACCACCAATCAAATTACAACGTTTACGTCAGGCTAATTTACCCAAAGCATATCAACCTCCAGTTGATTTACAAACACTTGGATCTGGTTTACGGGCAATGGGTCGACGACGAGAATCTCAAACTAGTCTACGTGGTAGACACCGAATGTCCAGAACAAGTTTAACTCATAATTCAATACCAGATACTCATGGTATAACAGTAGTCAATTCAAATATCAATACAAATGATAAAAGCCAAACATCATTTTCAAAACTTAATGGATACTTAATTAAACAAAGATTAAAACAAATTAAGGTAAATTTCATTTCACTAGCTAAATCATTCAATGAAGACAGACTGTTTACAATCATTTTATTATTTTTTTTTTAATTTGTGTAATCGTATGAGTATACAAGTTTATAATGAGTGAAATACTTTGGTTATAATTAATACTAGTGGATGAAATAATTAAATAAATGGAGTCATCAGATCAACAAGAAATTATAAGAAATTTGGGAGACTAATAGTTAATCTAAATTAACGCTTTTTTATCAAGGATTTCTTTTACAGATTGGAGGTTTCTAACCCAATCCTCAAACCTTCTCCTTTACCCAGTCTTGAGACCAGTAATAACCTTTGAAGGAATTCGTATGGAGTTAAAGGTTATCTTCATCCTTACCTAATACCCGTTTCGTAACAAGTACATTACTTACTCGGTCGGTCCCAAGATATACGAGCAATGCTTCGAAGACACCTATGATCGAATACTAGTAGCCTACGAATATCCTCTACTCTTATCGGCCATTTTTCACTGCCATAAAGTAGGACGAAATGAACTGCTGTGCAGTAAACTCGTCCTTTGGTTGTAGACGGGTATCTCGTCTACGCCATAAATGACGCAAGTTGGCGAAAGCTAGACAAGCCTTCTGTATCCGTGCTGAGATTTCGTCACACACCAGACTACAAGGGCTGATGAGACTCGCAAGATAAGTGAAGCTGTCAACACGCTCAACTACTTCACTCTCTATCATTAGTTCAGGTGTCGATGCGACCCGATCCTGAAGTAACATTTTGCACTTCGAGGGGAAGAATCGCAATCCAAACATGCTACTATTGTTGCTTAAAGTGTTCAGAAGACTCTGCATTTTGTCAGCATCTTCAAATAGAACTATGTCGTCGGCGTATTTTAAGTCAACAAGTGAGCCTCCCGGTAAAAGTTCAACTCCTGGAGATTTAGATGATGAAAGTGTTATCTCTAAAAGCATGTCAGCGACAAAGTTAAACAAGAATAGAGAGAATGGACAGCCCTAACGAACACTACTTGAGTGAGGTAACCGATTCTGATGACGGTTTGCCATAAGCTCTAACTCCACCAGTTGTGTTCGAGTAGAGATTCTTTATGAGATTACTGTACTTCTTTGGTACTCCTTTCCCTGACAAACACTGCCATAGAACCTCACGATCAACGGAGTCAAATGCCGCCTTAAGGTCGAGAAATACTACGATTGTTGGTCTGAATGTTCGTCTATGTTCTAGGACCTGACGTAGAGTGAATATCTGGTCTATACAACCACGTCCTGGTCGAAAACCAACCTGGTTTTCTCTATTCTGCACTTCGCGAGCTTTGGCTAGGCGTCCAAGTATTATTGAAGCTAATATTTTAAACACTATATTAGTCAAACTGATCCCTCTGTGATTGCCACAAGAGGACTTTTGTCTTTTCTTACAGACTGGTACAATCAGCGATTGAAACCAGTCAGTTGGAATTACGTCCATTTCCCAGATTCTACCTAAGACCTCAGTCAATCTCGCTGCTAGTACTGGACCACCACCCTTAAAAATCTCAGGGATAAACCTGTCAGGGTCTGCTGCACTCCCTCGCTTCAGATTTCCTATAGCTTTTTCAACCTCGGAAAGAGTTGGAGGACTTACATTAATTTGCCATTCAAGACGACTGGGGATCGTGGGTAATTGAAGTGTAGCTGAAGGCCAGTTGAACTGATCCGTAAAGTATTCCGTCCAACGATTCAATCTTCTAGATTGAGAATGAATAGTATATCCATATTTTATTATCCTCATAGCATTTAAAGGATAATCGTTGTTAGTTGACTATTCACCATCACTTGAAGTGTTACTTAATTGGAACTCTTCCTTATTCATATCCATTTCTCTGATTTATAAATTTTGAATAAAACAATATCAACAATTTTAACAGAATAATCTGAATTCATTTATTATCTTGGATTCTCTTCAGTTGCTTACAGACTAGAATAAGCACAATTATTTTAAACAGGAAAATTCTTGATTAAAAGTTAAGTTTGATATATATGAATTCATCAAAGACAATAGTTGTGAAAGAATTAAAAAATATATTTAAATGACTTCATTCAGTATTGTTTGTTTGAATCTAGCCACTATCCATCTCTGCTTACCAT